TCCTCTACAAGCTTTATTTTTAGGTAGGGTCTCCCTAAATTGCTCAGTTTTCCAGGCAGGCTGAAATTTCTAATCCTCCTGCTTCAGCCTTCCAGTTCTGGGGTTACCTGAACCAGGCTCCAGCACAATCTGAGTACTCTAAGTAAGTGCTGCCACCTGGCTACTGAGCTCTAGAAATGTGACTAGTGCAATTGAGGAACTGAATAATTCATCAGATTAATTTTAATTAATTTATTTTTAATAATGTATTTTTGGTTTTTTGAGACTGGGTCTTGCTATGCAGTGAAGACTGGCCTTGAACTCACTATGTAGCACAGGCAGGTGAGGAATTTGCTGTGATCCTCCTGCCTCAGCCCTACCACCCTACCACCCCATGGGTGTGTGTCACCACGTCCAGCTAATTTTAATTAATTATTATTATTGTGTGTGTGGAACCGGGGATTGAACTCAGGCCCTTGCGCTTGCCAGGCAAGCACTTATTCTACTGAGCTATCTCCCTGGCCCCTAATTTTAATTAACTTAAATGGCAAGAATTGCCTGTGGGCAACACCGAGGGCTTTGGGTACACAAACTCTGCTTCTGGAAGTATTAGGATATCCATTTTCAGATGGAAACGAGACCTAAGGAGGGTGACACACAGCCTAGGCTCCTGACTTACCAAACTGCTAGGCCAGGGCCATAACACACATATCTACGGTGTAGTGGGGCTACTGCCCCCACACTTACCGCCAGGTAGGCCAGTGCAGGGGTCCCATTGAGGCAGATCTCCATCGGTGTCTCTTGATTGTAGCGGGTGTCGTATGACCTGGGCCAGGTTGACGGGATGGAGCTGCCCGCCTGGCCCAGGTACCAGTAGGCCTCAAAGATCTTGGTAAGGTCCTGTGCCAGGCAGCTGCAGTTGTACATGACCACACCCAGCTCCTTGACCTGCAGGAGGGCTGTGCTAAATCCGGTGCCCACACATGACAGGGACGCTGCCAGCCCAGTCTCTTTATCCCTTATTATAGACCATGTGTCTCTTAGTCCTTCCTCCAACCCTACTGAAGAGCTAGAGTCCTAGAGCTTTCAACTTAAGTTCATACGAATGAACCCTGGGCCTCACACATACAACTTTAGTGCTCTACCACCAAGCTGCAGCCCCAGCCCTTTAAAATTTTATTTGAAAACAGAGTCTTATTAAAGTTATCCTGTATGGCCTTGAACTTTTGAATTCTCCTCCCTCAGGTTCTGGAGTAGCTGGAATTACAGGTGTGTTGGCCACTGTGCCTGGCTGGTTTTCTTTTCTTTTCTTTTTTTTTTTTTTTTTGAGACAAGGTCTTGCTGTGTAGTTTAGGCTGGCCTTGAACTCACCATGTAGCCCCAGCTGGCCTCCAACTCACGGTGATCCTCCTGCCTTGGCCTCCGAGTGCTGGGATTACTGGTGTGCATCACCACACAGGCCTCCTGCTCATTGTTAGATCTAGTCCACTATATTCCTCATCCAGGAAACCCCCCTGAAGTGTCCAGCATGTGCTGGGCCTTGCCATTCCCCTGGGCTCTCCGAGAGTTTCCCTCTTTATTCTCTTTGCTGACGAATCCATCTCTACTGGGTGGGAGGACACCGCATGGATGTCTCAATCACAGCTGGATGCTCAGTGTCTCCCTGCATCAGCAGTAAATCTAGGGGTTTGGGGAAGTATTCTTGTGCTGACTTCTGCCAGTTCTTTAGTTTCAGATCTGTTGTCATCACCTTCAGGACATCTTTCCTGACACCCCAAGTTGGGTCGGATGACTCCTCTGGGCTTCCATGGTTTCCCCATCCTATCCCTGAGCCCCCCTGGGCTGTGAATGTCTGGCAACAGGATCCACGGCACACTGGGAGTCCTGTGAAGTTCATCCATTACCACGAGGTTCCTAGCATTACCCAGGGGAGCACTGGGTTTAGGACAGGAGTTCACAGAATGGAGAGGGAGGCCACAGTGGAGCCTGGAGTGCCCTATACATGCTTGTCAGCTTCCCTGAGGGACTGGGGGAAGCCTAGGCTTCCATAAGCAGAAGGAGAGCAGTGGAAGGCTAGATTGAGGGATGTTTAGGAAGGCTTGGTATGCAATAAGAAGAGAAGCATGGCACAGATGGGCAGAGGGTGGTGGGACTGCAGAGGAGGGAAGCTGCAATCTGTAAGGTATGAAATGGCCTGGAGGGGAGGGTGGGCAGGGCGCAAGCAGACCTGAGTCAGTGAGCGCCAGTCCATGTTGGCACTGCCCAGATAGAAATGGGTCTGGTCTACCACCCAGAACTTGGTGTGTAGGACGCCGTGGGTCAGCTTCTGCATGTCTACCATGCGGACCTGGGCACCTGCAGCCGACAGGGGCAGTGGTCAGGAGTGAACTTGGGCAGCCTCAGGCACAACCCCCACAGCCCCCACCTCACCGCTCTGCAGCAGGGCCTGCAAGTCTGCCTGCGGCTGGGGTCCGTTGGGCTTGCTCACGGCGATGCGCACCTTCACACCTCGAGGGGCCAGGGTCTGCAGCTGTCGCAGGACCTCCTCACCCTGCAGGAAACACAGGGCTTCTCAGGGGCTGGGCAACCAGCCTAGGGTACCCCAGTGGGGTTGTGTTAAGACTCAGCTTTCATTAATTATAGGACCCACTAAGTCCTTCCCACTTACTGTGTGTCAGGCCCCTTGAGGTCTGAACTCAGTCAAATCTCACAACATCCTACAGAAGGGCTGGTGACAATCTCCACCATGCAGATAAAGACACTGAGGTGGAGAGCTCAGTGGTGAGTGAGGACTTGAACCCAGACCGTCTGCTTCTACTTCTACGCTATGGATTACTTCAGTGAGACTGAGGAGAGTTTGAGGTCTTTTTTGAGGAGAGGATACTGAGGATGAAACCCAGGGCCCAGCATCTGCTAAACAAGTGTACTACCACTGAACTGTAGCCCCAGACCCTTTTTCTTTTTCATTCTGAGACAGGATCTTGCTAAATTGCCTAGGCTGGGCTTGAACTTCTGATTCTCCTGCCTTAGCCTCTCAAGTACTGAGATTACAGGTGTGTGGCATCAAGCCCAGCTTGGACTTTTTTTTTTTTTTGCGGAACCAGGGATTGAACTCAGGCCCTTGTGCTTGCCAGGCAAGCGCTTATTCTACTGAGCCATCTCCCCGGCCCCTGCTTGGATTGTTTTTAACTTTATTTTTTATGAATGCTTCAGAGGCTCTGTAATTCTGGTCAACTTTAAGTTAACTTCTCATAAACATAGCCAGCTGAGAGCAAAAAACAGAAATATCAAGATCTTGTTTGTCTCAGGTTTTTCAGACTGGGTCTTACTATATAGTTCAGGTTGGTTTTGAACTCACTATGTAGTGTTTACTGGCCTCAAGTTTGTGCGTCAATCCACTTGCCTCAGCTTTTCAAGTGCTGGATGATGGTGGTGATGATGATGATGATGATGATGATGATGATGATGATGATGATGATGATTTAGAACAGGGCGTATAGGGTCTCACTGTGTAGATCAGACTCATAGTGATCCTCCTGTTTACAGCCTCCTAAATACTGGCATCACAGGTGCGTGCCACCATACCCAGTCTCAATCGCCATCTCAAGGAGCCCCGGGGGTGGGGCTGGCACAGCAGTTCTAGAGATTGAACTCCTGGCCTCTGCGTCTGCCTAAGCAGGCGCTTTAATCCGCTGAGCTATTTGGCTGGCCCTCCAAGTGCTGGGTTTAAAGCCATCATGCTTTTTAATAGTAGGAGCTATCCACCTATACTATTCTTCCTTCTTCTTCTCCTTCTCCTATTCTTCTTTCTTCTCCTCTTCTTCTTGGGACAGGGGCTTGCTATGTAGTATAGCCTGGCCTCAAACTCACAACAATCCTCCTGCTTGAGCCTCCAGAGTGTTGGGATTATAGGCATGCACCACCATGGGCAGCTGGCCATTTCTTTTTAAACTATGGAGAGGCCATGCATAGTGGTATACTCCCATAGCGTATACTCCCAGCAGTCTGAGGCTGGGGCAGGAGGATGGCTGCAAGTTCAAGGCCAGCCTAGGCTACATAGTGAGTGCAAGGTCAGCCTGAACTACATAGCAAGACCCTGTCTCAAAACACAAAATAAACAAACAATGGAGATCTTATATGTTTTTAAAGTTTGTCTCCAAACCATAGCCATTGTGTGTTAACAGCAAATGCTCAAAATGGGGTGCTTGTATACCAGCCACTGTAAGTTTGCACAAACCAGTCCATTCTGTCCTTGCAAGAGCCCTGCCAAGCATGCAGTGTATGTTGGCCCCTCTTACAGATATGGAAACTGAGAAGTGACCTGCCAAAGTCACAATGCTGGGGAGTACTTGGGGCTGGCTTTTTTGAGACAGGATCTCATTATGCAGTTCAGACTGGTCTTGAACTCACTATGTAGCCCAGCCTGGCCTTGAACTTGTTGCTCCTCTCTTCCACCTGTTTACGTGACAAGGTCAGGGCAGCTTGTGGGCAAGCGACATTTGCTAGCCTAATCCCTTGTAACTAAACCTGCACCCTGACATTCTGAGGCCTCCAGATGATCGTGACAAATGCTCCCAGTCCAAAGGGCCATGTGAAGACAGCTGCTTCCAAACACCTGTGTCCAGCGGCCACATGAGACACGCCCACCTGTCTCCAGGGCCGCAAAGAAGCCCCTTCACACCCTTCCCTTTGCTTCCCCCTCCCTGACACCCCTGTTGCCAGCCAGTACCCAAGCTGGAGGGTACCTGCTGGGCAGAGGGGTCCTGCGAGTGAGTGTCATTGTTGGTGAGGGTCCAGTAGAAGGAGGCGATGTCTAGGCTGCTGTGAGCACCGGCAAGCAGGCCCAGCCAGGCCTGGCTCGTGGAGGGGTTGCTTGTGGTGGCATTTGGGAAGTCCAGGCCTTCAGGAATGCTCTCCACCAGCACTGCTCTGTGGGGTGAGGACAGTGTCAGCCATAGGGGGACCAGAGATGCGTTCACCTATCTGCCCAGGGATGTGGATGGAGAGCTGAACATCTCTTTTTCTGAGACCGGGTCTAGGAGCTGGGGAGATAGCTCAGTTGAATAAGCGCTTGCCTGGCAAGCACAATGGCCTGAGTTCGATGCCCAGCTCCGCAAAAAATAAAATAAAATAAAATAAACAAAAAGGAAAGAAAAAAGAGACAGAGTCTCACTATGCAGTTCAAGCAGGCCTTGAGCTCACTTTGTAGCCCAGGCTGGTTTTGAACTCACAATGATCCTCCTGCCTCAGCCTCCTGAATCCTAGGATTACAGGTGTGTGCCACCAAGCCTGGCTAAGCTAAGCATATCTGTGTGAGGTCCCGTCCTCATGATTCTCTGTGTGTCCACTGTCTGTCTAGAAGTGTGGAAGGAAGATTATGCATAGGGATGTCTGTGTGTCAATCCATAGATGTGGATGGGAGATGCTGTGCGTGTCTAACTGTTCAGAGACCTGCAGAGAAGATGACGCTGTGGCTGCCATGGAAACTGTGTGGGGGGAAGGGGGTGGGCATGCATTCGGGAGTACAGCCTCCTCATTTCATCACTGCACTGGGTGCGGCTGAATGCAGACCCTGCTCCTTGTATGTATTTAAGTGATCCGGACCTGGCAGACCCCCACCTTGCCCCCCTTACTTACTCGCAGGGATCATAGCAGGGAGCTGGGCGCTGGTTGGGCCCAAAGAGATGCAAGTCCCCATATTCCCATAGGAACAGCTGAGTCATCAGGGCACCAAAGCCCACCACTGCCAGGATGAGGACCAACAGGACCCAGCGGGCTTTCTGTGGGGAGGAGGGGGTGGTCAGCCAAGGGGAGCAGCCCTGCCAAGCCCTGAGCCAGTCAAGGCAGTAAGGGTGCCTACCTTCTCTGCAGCCTTCCATGCCTCAATCTCATTCATGGGCAGCTCGCTGGCAGGCTCCTCAGCAGGGACCTTCAGCTGGGAGATGGGGAGGAGGAAGGTAGAGGGAGTGACAGGGCCGTGTGGCAAGTTGTCCACCCTCCACAGCACACACATCACATTCTCCCCACTCAGGCCCTGTTCACCTACCTCCTGGTACATCAGTTTAGGCTTCATCTTGCCAGGTCGCTGGGGTAGACGCACAGCCCAGGTGGTAAGGTGGGTGTGTCAGGGTCTCTGAACTAGGGGAACAAAAGCAGGCACTTATGGGGTGTGCTGGGCTTTTGAGGGTCATCACAGAGGCAGATTAGTCTTGGGGTTATGAGAACCATGAAGTCTCCTTGCCCAAGATCACGGGGGCACTTGGCACAGTGCCTGCCACCTCAAAAGGAGGAAGCTGGTTGATGGTCAGCAGAGATACCGAAATCCCTCGAGGTCCAGTGCCTCTGCTTTCTTCGCATTTATCACCTGCCTCCTCTTAGCGTCCACCCTGCCCCCCTCATGCGCCCATGCCGCTCCCCAGGCGCACCCCACTTTATCCATTCCCTGAGCTGCAATCCAGACATTCCCCCAAACGCAGGCCTGGATCCTCAGGGACTACTCAGGGAGCACGTTCCAGGCGGCTCCTTTGCCCTCGACCCCGGGTACCCACCAGACCACAGCAGCTCAGGTACAGAGCCCAGAACCATCGGGCCTCCTCATTTCCCTTCAGCCCCTCGCCGCCCCGCCATAGCTCCCCCTCCTAACCCCAAAGACCTCGACCTTACACGCCAGGTAGCTGCTGCTACCTCCGCGGGGCCCCAGCTTCTGTCCCGACAGGCTGAACAGGAGTAGGAGGGAGAGGGGGCGGGACCTTTGGAGGCCCCGCCCACTGCAGCGGGGAGTCTGCGCATGTGCGCGTCGGCTCACCGCAACGAGAAGGGGGGAGCGGGGGGGCCCCCCAGACCCAGCCAAAAGGGGGGAACAGCCCCCTAGACACCGTCTACCCGCCTGACTGGGGTCGGGAGCGATTTACGGTATGGGGAGTGGGTTTGTCACACCCACCCCAAGCCCCATTTGGGCAAGGGAGGCCACAGATTAAAAGGAACCCCACATCTTTTCCAATCTACAAACCTTGTGAATTTTTTGTACCGTGGACATGCATTACCAAGTCAAAGAATATAAACACATAAATAAAATTAATACTTAAAATGCTCATAAAAGGGAGATCAAAACTAATAGACGAAGCAAAAAAAAAAAAAAAAAAAATCAGCAGAAGATCCAGCCCACGCTGTAGAATGGGAAGAGAAGGATGGTGTTTTTGTGTTTTTGTGTTTTTTTGTTTTTTTTTTTTACCGGAGTTTGTCTGTAATACGTTATTTGACCTTTTTTTAAGAAAGCCAGATGACATTTGGATAGGGATTAGAACACCTTTGTTTTGAGATCCAGCTTTCTGGATCCCAAACAGGATTTAAAGTCACAGCTGGAGAACTAAATCGGAGGCCCCCCCTCCTGGTACCCTCCTCCCTCAACCCTCATCCCCAAACATACAGGAAGTCTACAAGTGCTTCTCAATAAAATAATGTCACTGAGGCAAGGGGGTGGGACTGGGAAGGGGAGGGTCCTGGCTGTTTATCACTGTAAGGTTTTGTTTTGTTTCTTAGAGGCAGGGTCTTACTTTCTAGTTCAGACTGGCCTTGAGCTTATTATATAGCCCAGGCTGGCCTTGAAGTTGACCGAGGTGATTCTTACGGTGGTTCTCATGCCTCAGCCTCCCAAGTGCTGGGATGACAGGCGTGCACCCCTACACCAGCCTCTTATTTTCTTTTCTAAAATGGTGAATGTGGGCTTCTTATAAAGAAGTATAGGACCCAGTTCAGTGCAGATTAAGAAATATCTATGCAAGAAAGGGCACAGGTAGGCCTATCTGATGGCGAGGCATCTGCAAAAGCAGAAGATAACACTCCAGAAGGGGCAGGCCAGGAGATTGCCATGGGGGAGGGGACAGGCAGGAAACCTTTGGCTTTGTGTTTTTGCTATACATTGGAGATTAAACCTAAGCCCTTGGCAGTAAGTGAACTACATCTTCCAGCTCCTTTTTTACGTTTTACTTTGAGACAGGTCTCACTGAGTTGCCAAATTGCCCAGGCTGGGCTTGAACTTTGTGATCTTCGTGCCTCAGCCTCCCAGAAGTGGGATCATAGACACACATCCGGGGTTGGTGGCACATGCCTGTAGTCCCAGCATTTTCAAGGCTGAGGCAGGAGGACTGCCAGGAATTCAAGGCCCCCAGGGCTACCTAGTGAGATAAGGGCCAGCCTGGATTACACCGCAAGACCCTGCCTCAAAATAAATAAATAGGAAGAAAGAAAACAATATGGTGATGAAACAGCATGAGATATAAAATTAGGGGAAGGGCCGGCCAGATAGCTCAGGGGTCTAAAGTTCCTGCTTCGGCAGAGCACAGCGGTGGGCCGGGGTTCGATCCCCAACATACCCTGCTGGCCTCACTCCTGGGGCACAGTGAGACAGCGATTGAGACTGGGCGTGGTGTCAGGCACACTTGTGCATACCCCTATAATCCCAGCACTTGGAAGGCTGAAATCAGGAGAATCACTATAAGTCTGATCTACGTAGTGAGACCCTGTATACTCTGTAGAACCCATCCTAAATTCATAAAATAAATAAAATAAAATTAGGGGAATCCACGAATAAAAACATGACAGAGGTGTGCAGCTGTGGGTGAGTGAGTATAGAGCCAGGATAACTGGGATGGCCATTAATACACAATCATAATAAAGAAAAAGAGAGCATTTAAATTGTCAGTAGCAGGCCAGGGATATAGCTCAGCAGCACAAATGCCTGCTTGGCAAGCATGAGGTCCCAAATTCAATCCCCTGAACTGCAAAAACAAAAACAAATTGTTAGTAGCCTGGTGTAGTGGCACATGCCTGTAATCCCAGCACTATGGGAGGCAGAGGTAGGAGGATGGCTGCAAGTTTGAGACCAGCCTGAGCTACAAAATGAGCTAAAGGCCAGCCTGAACTGCACAGTGAGACTCTTGTTTCAAACAGAGAAAATAAAAGTTAGTGAAATTTTGTTATTCAAATTGGAGTGATTTCTCCCCCATTGCGCCAAAACCAAAACAAACAAAAAAACCAAATTGTAGTGATTTGGGGTCTGTATTGAAGTTTCACTTTACCTTCAGCAGTATTTTTATCAAAGTAATATACCTAAAAAAAAAAAAAGTAATATACCTAAAACCTCCAAAAGAAAACTAGTACCGAGGGCTGGGGAGATAGCTCAGTAGAATAAGCGCTTGCCTGGCAAGCACAAGGGCCTGAGTTCAATCCCCAGTTCCACCAAAAAGAGAGAAAGAAAACTAGTACCAGAAGAGTGGGTCAGATGGGATTAAACTAATAAAATGGAGCTGGTTATGGTGGCAAACTCCTGTTGTCCTAGTACTCTCTGTCGTCCTAGTACTCTCTGTCGTCCTAGCACATTGAGGTTGAGGTTGAAGCAGGAGGATCACTGGGAATTGTAGGCCAGTCTACGTTACATAGTGAGTTCAAGGCCAGCCTAAACTACACAGTGAGACCTTTTCTAAAAAAAAAAAAAAAAAGGCAAGAGATAGAGAAAGAGAACACGAACATGCTGGGGATATAGCTCAGTTTGAAAGCCCTGAGGTCAATTCCCACTACCACTAAAAAACAAGCAGAAAACCAACAAGAGGAGAGTAGTTGATTATAGTGGGAGCTAGAGGGAGAGACCCGACTTTAAATCTGAACGTCAGCATCTGTGTGACCTGTTTGAGTTTGGAGAAGTCACAGTGTCTCTGTGCCTCGGTTTTCCCAGCTGCAAAGGAGGCGCGAGGATAAAACTATATGCTTTTCACAGGGCTGTTTACTTTCACATGTATTCATTGAGTACCTACTGTGTAGTAGGTGTTGTTTTAGGCCCTGGGACAGATGCAAGGAAAGACATAGAATAAACAATAGGTAAATTACAGTTGCCCTCCTTTTCTCCGGGCCCTTCACCTGCAAATTCAACCAACTATGGTTTAAAAATATTATTTATTTTTGCTTTCTTGAGACACAGTATCAGTGTGTAGCTCAGGCTGGCCTTGAAATCACTACGGTAGCTGTGGCTGGCCTCAAACTCGTGGCGATCCTTGTGCCTCAGCCTCCTGGGATCACAAGTGTATGCCGCCTAGCCAAATTGAAAAGATTTTTTAAAAATTACAGTCTGTACTGGAGATGTACAAATGCTTTTGTTCTTTTTCTCTATACAGTGCGGTATGTACAATCATTTACACAGCTTTTGGAAATGATTTGAAGTACAGTATAGGAGAGAGTGTAGGTAGGTTACATACAAATAGAAGTTCCTTGTAAGATTTCTCCAGGTTGGTTGGCCATTCATGAGATGAGGTCTTGCTGCGTTGCCCAGGCTGGTCTTGAATTCTCGTGTTCAAGCAGGCTTTCCACCTCACTTGCCTAAAGGCTAGGACAACTCCATACTACTGTGCCTGGGTCTCTAGAACACTAATTTATGTAGGAACTGGGCCATCTGGGAGTTGTGCTATCCTTGGGGGCCAAAATCCCCTAGACACTGAGGGGCTATAATGTGTTGGCGAGTAACACACTCCATGGAGGATGTGGGATGGTTCCCCATGTTAAATAAAGAGGTCAGGGAAAGCTTTATTAAGAAGGGCACACCTGAGGAAACCTTCAAGGGACAGAGTGCCAGCCACATGCACCTGGACTTGGGAGAGCGAGGAGCATGGTCAGTACAGAGGCTCTGCAGCAGGAGTGACCCAGTGTGGATGAGAAGTGGGAGGAGGCTGGTGTCTACACGGGGATGAGTGGGGATGTCGGAGGGAGGAGCTGAGTCAGAAGTGACCAGGCCAGATCCTGCAGAGCAGGTCAGGGATTCCACACAGTAGGCATGTGATCTTTGTTTCTTTGTGTGTGTGTGTGTGTGTGTGTGTGTGTGTGTGTGTGAGAGAGAGAGAGAGAGAGAGAGAGAGAGAGAGAGAGAGAGGGAGGTGATCTTGAGTGCTGTGGTGAGTTTAATGATGGCTTGGGAAAAAAAATAACAACAAAGAAAAGGTCTGACACAGGCATAAGCCCGGGAACCAGTGTCTGTAACCTTATTTGGGAAAAGCAGATGTGATTAAATTTAGGGTCTTGTGATGAGGTCATCCTGGATTATCTGTAAGGGCTCAATCCCCATGGCAAGTGTCCTCCTGAGACTGCAGGGAAGA